CATAAAACCTGGAGAGAGCTGACTGCTCTCAAAGGGAAATATGGTAACAATGGGCCACTGTCCTCCCTTGGCCTCCTTCGAGAAAGGCAAAGAGAGAAGCAAGCTGGTACACCCAGGTAGGAGAAAGTTTGAAGAGAAGCCTTAATAGAGAGGGGAGGGAGCTAGATTGGACTAGGAATAAAGAGCGGAATTGAGGGTGTTAGGTGCAGGACAGGCTGGTCTACAGGTCATGCCAAACAAAGTTAGCTGCAGGATGACCTGGCTTCTCAAACCCTCTGTCTGGTTCTTTATCACCTGCTTGCTTCAAGCCCAAATGCCCAAGCCCCTGCTCAAGGCTGAACACTTAACCCCCCTTGTGCCAACAACGCAGCTTGCAGACCCAGAGACCCCATTAGATTTGGGCTATAAAAACTCCCTGTGCCTGTTCCTTCCCTTTATCATAAAGTTTGTTCAGACTCAGGTGGATAAAAAAATTGTAATCAAGCCTTTATCAGCTTCTCCTCAGGAATTACCAACTCCTGGCTACTGATGATACCTCCAGTTGAGACCTATGCCAAATGGACTGACATCATCATCATGGATCTGTGGTGGCAAGGAACCTTCGTTGATCTGGTTCCTGAAGTTATACCAGTCCTCTCTGCCCTCCTGTGGGGCTCCTTATTTCCCTTCTCTCTGATTCTCCCAGGCCGCCCCATCACAGCAGGAAGCAGCCAGAATGAGTGGATGTCCACTCTCATTTAATAACAAAGAAGGGGGAGTGTTGGGAGTCACCCTGGCTCCAAAGACTAACTTCCCCATCCCCCAAGAAGAGCTGTCCAGTGGTGAGCCCTGCTGGCTCACATGATCCTGCCATCCAATGGTGAGCCCTGCTGGCTCACATGATCCTTACCCACCAAACAAACTAGCCCTGCTGGCTCACCTGATCCTTACCCACCAATAAAAAAGCACCCCATGCCAACTGTCAAACCACCCCAGCTCCATAAATATTCAGATCTGTTCCTCAATAAACGGGCATTTTCTTCAACAGCAAGCCTTGATCGTTCTTTCAGTCTTGGTGGGAATGTGCACACCACATGGCACCCTGTGGTGGAAGAGGTGAGAAGCAGAGAAGACAGAGGGTTGGTGGTTTTTTTTGCAGTACTGGGAATTGAGTCCAGGGCCTCAGGCATGCTAGCCAACTACTCTACCATTGAGCCATGTCCCCCACTTTTGAAATTTTTAAAATTTCATTTTAAAAAWGCCTTTCTGTTATTTGCCAAAATTGTCTCCATAATATTGATCCACTTCCCTCCTGAGTAGCTGGGATCACAGGTGTATGCCACTATGCCCAACTCAGTAAAACAGAATTTTAAAAGGATTCCAATACATTAGTAAACCCCACATTTTTTGCTGAAAATAAATTTTGCACTTTAAGTGAAAACATGACAAATTTTCTTGAGAGACATGAGAAGGAGCTTATTAATAAATGAAGAGCCAAGGTACTTTTGAGTATGGTGGATATTGGATTTTCCTCAAAACAATTTAGCATTCAATTACACTCTGATCAATATCCCACAGGGTTTCTTTGGGGGGAACTTTACAATCTAATTATAATATTTATGTGGAAGGACAAAGGCCATGAATAGTGAGGGCACCGACGGGGTGGGGAGTGAGAAGCCTTGTCTCAGTAGATACCAAACTCAATATGCTGCTCGTGTGGTTAGGTCAGGTGCCAGTGATTCAGGGATGCACTGTCTGACAGTGGAACACAGCAGGGTCCAGGGGGACCCATGTGGAAACCTCACGTTGTGGAGAGTGGTGATTTGAATCAGATCTTCTGACTCTCTCGTGGCTGTGCTTGCACTGGGAGCTGCTTGTGCATAGGTGCAACTCCAGATGCCCCAGTTGCTATGGTAATGTTGCCCTGAGAAGTCTCTGTGGCAAAGTACAGAGCTGTTATTATTTGATGCCTTAAGTTTAGCACCTTCTCCCAGGGATAGTGAATTCTGAGCAAACAAGATGGCCCTAACCTCTCGCCAGACCCGAGTCCTTCAGAACTTTACCTTTGATCATGAAACCTATACAATATAAACTTTCTGAAGTAGCTTCAGGTCAGCCAAGCCTCTCCAAGGCATGGCTTTCCCACTGGGACCCAGCTTTTTCTCCCTATGTGTGTTTGTGTTTTTCTTAATTCTTCATTGCCCACATGTTTCTGGTATTTCTTTAGTCAACAGTCGTGGCTCTAAGAGAATGGGAGGTCATAGATCCAAAATGATCACCATGGATCATTTAGGAAAGGCCACACCATTCCGTCAGTTGTGTTGATATAAGTGATGATGAAAATGGAAAGTCCAGGTGGTGGTGCACACTTGTGATCCCAGCAACTCAGGAGGTTGAGGCAGGAGGATCGAAAGTTTGAGGCCATCCTCAGCAATTTAATGAGGCCTTAAGCAACTTAGTAAGACCCTGTCTCAAAATAAAAAATAAAAAGGGCTGGGGATGTGGCTCAGTGGTAAAGTACTTGGCAAAAAAAAAAAAAAAAAAAAAAAAAAAAAAAAAAAAAAAAAGAAAGAAAGAAAAAGAAAAAAGAAAGAAAGAAAATGGAAAACATAACTCCTTCCTTATACCTTTTACATAAAAATTATTTCTAGCTAAATTAAAGTTCTAAAACAAAACAGCAATTGATTATGGACATAAAAAGTCCAAACTCTGATAGCAATTATAATRTCTATTGAAGTTAAAATCCAAATGTCTGCACAAGGCACTATAAAAACTGAAAAGACAAACCATAAACTGGGAACTATTAACCAATATGAAATTAGTATCAAGAACACATGGTTTCCTAAGTAAGAAGAAAGACAAATCAACCAAGAAAATAGCTTAGTGGCTCTCTGTGGGGGAATGGAGAGAGATCCAAATAGAGGGGCCCTCAGGGCTGTGGTCTGTTGGGTGTTTATTGCTTAAGATGTGGTTTAGATACATGTAACTTGCTTTTGAGTTTTATAGGAGCTCACGTGAGTCTCAGAGGAGACTTTGTGCTTGGGCTTTGGGGCATGCTGGAACTGTTATGACCATGGGAACTCTTGGAGATACACGCATTATGACCATGGGAACTCTTGCAGATGGACTACATGCATTTTTTCATGGTGAGATAAATATGCATTTTGGGGGACCAAGGGTAGAATATTGTGGTTTGCATTGAGGTGTCCCCTCAAAGCTTCTGTGTTAATGCAGGAATATTTGGAGGTGAAATGACTGGATTGTGAGARCTGTAACCCAATTGGTCCAGCCTAGCTTGAATTGACTGGCTGAGTGTAACTGTAGGCAGGTGGGACAAGGCTGGAGGAGGTATGCCCTGGAGGGAGCGTTTTCCCTGTGACCCCTTCCCCTGTCTCTACTTGTGGGCCACCATAAGGAGGGCAGCTCTCCTTCTCAGCCCTTCTGCATGATGCTCCACCTCACTTGGGCCCAGAGCATTGGATTCAGCTGACAGAGGGCTGAACTTCTGAAACCATGTATCAGAGGAAACTTTTCCTCCTCTAAGTTGGTTTCCTAAGTAAGAAGAAAGACAAATCAACCAAGAAAATAGCCTAGTGGCATTTTGGAGACAGTGAAAGAAGACCGACTAACACTATCATAATCCCATTCCTGAGGGCTCCCTCATTTCCCAGGGGTCCCACTTCTTAATACCTTTACCTTGGGGATTTGGTTTTAGCATATGAAAATGTAAGTTGTAGGAGTCAGATTGGGTTGCCATAACAAAGTACCCCAAATTGGGTGGCCTAAAATGCCATGCCCTTTCACCGTGATGTTCTGCCTCACTTCACATCCAAAGGAATGGAGTCAGCCAACCATGGACTGAGAACTCCAAAATCATAAGCCAAAATAAATCTTCCCTCCACAACATTGTTTTTCTTAGGTGTTTGTCATAGCAACAAAAAGCTGACTAACCACAAAAACAGTTAATAGCAAGTGTGGGTGAGGGAGTGGGAAACTTGAACCCTTAAATAGTACTGCAGAGAATGTAAACTGTGTAGAAACTTTGGAAAAGTCTGTCAGTTCCTCTAAACTTCAAACACATCTGGGCCCAGTGATGCATGCTGTAATACCAGCCACTCAGGAAGATAAGGCAAAAGGACTGCAAGATCAAGGCCAGCCTGGGCAACTTAGTGAGACCCTCAGCAGCTTAGTGAAGCCCTGTCTGAAAATATAAAATAAAAAGGGCTGGGGGTGTGGGTTAGTGGTAAAGAACCTCGGGTTCAACCCCACAAGAAGTTAAACAGAGTTACCATAGACCCTGCAATTGTCTCCCTAGAGGAATGTTCGTAACAGCACTATTCAAAATAGACCCAAAGTGGAAATACCAAAGATACGTACCCATTGATGAACTAACAATGTTTTATACCCACTCAATGGATTATGATTTAGCCACACAGAGTGAAGTGCCTTGTGAGACCTTGAAAATATCAACTCTGTGAAGGAGGTCATCACAAAATTTGCCCCGTGTCTAATGAAATGCCTGGAACAGCAAGGTCTGCAGGACAGAAAAGAGGTGAGTGGTTGCCAGGGGCTGGAGAGGGCGGGGAGGATCAGAGTCACTACTTAGGGTTGCTTTGGGGGTGACACAAATGTTCTGAAATTGGCAGGAGTGATGGAAGCACAACTTTGAAGGTACTAGAAATCACTGGAATGACTCACTCAGGTAAAAGATTTTATCTGATTTATAACAACTCAGCGAGGCTGGAGGAAGAGAGCGACCCCGCAGCGGGTCATAGATCATGTGAGCTGACATGGTAAAATACAGATGGCGGGCTCACTTATCATCATGAAAACGTACTTCCCCCATTCTGCAGTTGGGAAGACCAAGATGAGCCCCTCATGGCTACTGTGTTTGGAGAGGGCTGCTCTCTGTTTCCAGTGCTGCGCTTTGAGTGCAGCATCCTCTGGAGGGGATGGACCGAGTGTCCCCACATGATAGAAGGGACAGACCTGCCCCCAAGGCCCCTTGGTAAGGCACCAACCTGTTCAAAGAGCAGAGCTCTCATGGCCTAGTCATCTCCTGGATGAGTTCGTACTGCTGCACTGGGGGCCATTTCCAACAGGAATTTTGGAGTGGTCACAGATGTTCAAATCCTAACATGATACAAGAAAAAAAGAATTTAAAAAGGAATTACAATGTGGATCGAGGACTAACAATTTCAGCAAGTATGTCACACATAATGGTGAAAGTAAAATGGAACTCCTGATGTGGCTCTGAGCCTTTCAGAAACAATCTCTTTTTGCACTCTTCACCCCTGTCCTATGAGCAGTGGTATCCAGGAGTGCGGAGCAGTTCCTAGACTTTAGGCTTTAATTCAGCTGTCTTTGGAAAATTACTGTTATCTTGGTTGGAAGAACAGGAAATCAAGGTGATCCTGGGGTTCCTGCTGCCTGGGAGCAGGGATCCTTCAAAAGATGGATGTTAGTGGGACTCAGGAGACAGCCACAAGGAGCTTCCACTGCCTGAGCTTGAAGAGATAATAGTGACAGTTCATTAAGGCACTTTAGGCTGTGACAAAGCCATGAATCCACAATGATAATCAAATAAAACAAAGTTTTCTCTTTAATTTTCATACATCTAGCATTTTATTCAGGTTAATTTTATGAGAAAATTTTTGTTCATGTTTGAATGTATATAATGTATGTTTTTAAGATGGGTGAAAACCAGTTTAAGTGCAAGTATTAGTTAACATAGGCACCGTCACCAAAAGATGTGAAAAGAATTTCATCCCTATTGTCTGTTCAGAATATTGACACACTTCACATGCTGAGTGTGAAGGAAGTGTGCAAATCTCAGAGAACCGGTAACAATCATAAGCTGGGAAAGAAGGGACACCCAAGAGGGCAGAAGAAAGAAGCAGGCTAAGATGTACCTTGGGGCAGATTTCTGGTCCCACTGGGACAGGGCTGGGCTTCTGGGAAACTGAAGCAGTGCAATGGCTTCCCCTTCAAACCCTGACTCTTGTTATCAAGTCAAAAAGATTTGACACGAGTAGAAGGCTCAGAGCAGAAGGGTTGGGAAAAGAGGACACTCTCAAAGGAGAGAGTGAGTGCTCTCAGAGGGGTGAGGGGCTGCATGCCTCTCCTACCTTCTACTTTTATTGGGAGCCCAGAAAAATTTTCAGAGTCCCACCCAACCCCACCTTCTGACTTTTGACTGACAGCAAAATCCAACAGATCATGGTGTGGTGCTCATAGTGTAGAAGTTTTTATGGAAACTGAATACTCCTGTTTTTGCCTAAAGTTCCTACCCCCTTAACCTACTCATTACCTTTGAATAGATCAGGAAATATGAGGGTCTTGATGTTTGGCTAATAGGGCAATTGGAGAGTGATAAGGTAGGGTTCTGGGGACTTCGTTACAGGAGAAAATGATGACATGGTCCAGAAATGGTAATTTTTCTTAAGGCAGGCAGGCATAGGTTTTAACATACAAGGACCCCCATAGGTGCTTATCTGTCAGATAAGGCTCCCTGTGGCTTTCAGTGGTCTCTTATTTCCTTACTTGCTCACCCACTCATGGTTGAGTCTACCTTGTGGGATTCTCCGAGACAGGGCACTGGGTGTTCAGCAGGAAGCAGTGTTTATTAGTGCCAGTGGATTTGTATCCAAAAGCTGAGGACTCTTGTTAGTTCCTCTTTTACTTGCCAGCTCTTTGTCTCCCATATAAGGTCATACACAGTCTGATTGGCATTCTATTTTTACGCAACAGTGTTTCTTTTAAAAAACTTTTTCATACATGAATGTAGTATAACTTTTCATTCTTCTGGTTGTACATGATGTAGAGTTACTCAGGTAGTGCAATCATATATGCATATAGGGTATGATTAATTCTACTCATTCCTACCCCCATACTCCCCCCCTCTGTCTAATCCTAAGTGCTTCTATTTGTCCCTAGCCAACCCCTCTTATTATGAATTATTATCTGCATATCAGAGACAATATTCAGTCTCTGGTTCTTCAGGACTGGCTTATTTCGGTTTAGCATAATATTCTCCAGTACCACCCATTTACTGGCAAATGCCATAATTTCATTCTTCTTTATGGATGAGGAAAATTCCAATATGTATATACACCACAATTCCTTCATCTGTTCATCTGTTGAGGGCCCCTAGGTTGGTTCCATAGTTTAGCTATTGTGAATTGAGCTTGTGGAGTGTGCACATTGATACCGAGGGTGTATATCTTCTTTGTTCTGAGAAAGTCCCTACCACAACCTAATACAGCCAAGGAGTACACTACTGCTGTGGGGCCTGAAAACTCTTCCCTGGGCTTCCAGAATTGCTTTGCATAGAGATTCTGYGCTTCCACTCCCTGCCTTTCTCCATGTGAGTATGACTGTGGTTATCCTTCACCATAGTGAGGTCAGCAGCGACGTGTGGAGGACCATCTTTTTAGTCTGGTAGGTCTTGGGACGTGGAGGACCTGCCTCAGAGGAGCCACAGACAACCTAGGAGGGACCACGCCATTTCCGATTTTGGGCTTCATGCTGGCATCCGACGAGACTTTAAGGCATCTTGGGACACTGGGAAATAGCGGTTCATACTTAAAACATCACTTTCAGTTTTAAGACGTCGAGTTTGAGGCGTCTTTGGCTTGTTTTCGACTGTGGGAGGGGGAGTACCTTCGAATCCATGGCGACACCCACACCCGCGGCCCCATCCCGGGCGCTGGCACTAACTCGAACCAGCACCAAGTAGGTACCGGGCTCCCATCAAAGGTCCAGAATCGCCCTGTCGGTCTGGAGGAAAACCCCAGAACGCAGCAGGTCGGGCCAGCTGCGCGGAGCCGGGCGCGGGCTCATCACCACTGGGAAGGAGGCCGCACCTACTGCGCACGCTCAAGGACGGGCGCTCGGGGATTACGTCAGCTCGCGGCGTCTGCGCATGATGTAACTGGCCGGCGCCGGTAGAAAGGAGCGCCCTGCGGCACACGTGGGTGGCGGAGCGGCGGGCACGCACATGGCGAGTTGCGCGGCGCTGGCGGTGTGCGGGCAGGCGCTGGTGGTGCGGGGTGGCAGCCGGTTCCTGGCCGTCTCCACTGCGAGCAGGTGAGGGAGTGGGCGGGAGTGCGGGCGCGGCGGCCCTGGACACCCTACTTCCCGGCCTCCGTGGGTGCGTCCGCCGGGGTGACTCCAGGAGCCCTGCCGCGGCCCGGGAGCCCACCGCCAGCCGACGTGGAGCCGCGAGCGCCGGGCGGCGTCGGACCTCGCGCACGTTTRTTTCCGGGTTCTGCTGCGGCTGCGCGGCCAGAGGGCGGGCCGGCCCRGGTCACGTGGGCATGCGCTCCCGGGGCTTTAGTGCTATGGTTCGGGTCTCCAGTGTCCTTTCCCGGGTGGGTTTGATTCTTTTATACTTGAAAGAGAAAGCTTGTCTGTAAAGTGTACGCTCTGCAGTTCGATGCCACATTTAGATTGCACAAAAAGTTTGCGCACGAACCTGTGACGTGTTCCAGTTAGTTTGGGGCTCAGAGCCCCAAATACATGACTTTGTGAACCGACGGTGTGCTAGACACGACCCGCTGCTTGCCTTTGGCGGAATCTTATTGATTGGCAGAGTTTTMGACTTTGAAGACAGTTTCTCTTTCTGCAGCAATGCAGTGTTCCATGAGCAAATCGTTTGGGTGCTGTCACTTTAAACGTTATCAGCATGTACAAGATCCCTTCTGTGTGCCGGGAGTGGGGGTGGGACCCAAGAAAGCTCAGGGTCTGGTAGGGAAGATGGGTGATTTCTATATTGGTAGGTGCTTCGGTGGCACTGCAGCTTTCTTCCGGTAGGAGACATTTTTCTGAACAAGTAATGGCTATTTTACATTTGGGTGCAAAATCACACTGAATAACTGCAGTATCAGAACACAATTCTTCCTTTAAAAATATTTATTTTTTAGTTGTAGTTGGACACAGTATCTTTATTTATTCACTTTTATGTGGTGCTGAGGATTGAACCCAGGGCCTCCCACATGCTACGCGAGCACTCTACCTACTGCTGAGCCACAACCCGAGCCCCACAATTTCTTCTTGTAATCACGTTTTGTTGATTTTCTAGTGCCTAAAAGAACAGTATATTAATTCTGGTTGAGTTTTTAACTTAGAGTGAATTGGTTGGTTTTCTTTGGACAGAATCTTGTGGATTGTGTATGACATATCCAAACAGAAGGTTAAACAAACAGAGCTCCTGAAGTCTCTTGTGCTGTGTAGTACCAGTACAGTTTTTTTTTTCTCATTGATAAGACTCAGAATTTAATGAATATGCAAATGTACAAACTTTTTTGTTCCAAGGGTAAAAACACCTCAAACCCTGCATCTTTGTTAGAAGTGTTTATTATGTTTTTTTTTTTTTTTTTTTTTTTTTTAGTGATGTTTTTAGCCTCTTCACATATGATTGCAGTACTGCAGAAAAGAAGCCAGAAGAAAATAAAGGGTGAGGTGATGGGGAAGAGTGTTCAGGGCCTGATGGATTCAGTTGGGGGGGGGGGGAACTGTTAGATGAAAAAGTAATTGTTGCCTTGCTGAATTCTTAACTTCTGTCACCTGGTTTTGTGGATAAGCTTAAGTTTCACCTTAGGAAAGAAACATGGAATTAACTTTCAAATTAGGTATTAAGGAAATTTAATTAGTTTCTGTCAGTATTGGTTCCTATGAAATAATAGTTTGAAATCTGTAGAGGTCATGTGCAGGACATTAATGTCACCTAATTCAAAGATAAGGAAAGCAGAGTGTGCAGTTGTTTTGCATGGTGGCTTTCTTTAGTTCACTCGGTCTTCTGGGTCAACTTGTCCTTAATTATTTTCAGTTTGATTTAACCGMGGTGTCTTGTCTTGGATTAGTCCATGTGCACGAGGGTGTGGGCTCTATGATCTCTGAGGGTCTTTCCAGTCCAGCTCTCTGGGTTCTAGCATGTTTGCTAAGAGACAGTCAAGTTAGTTAGATGTAACTATTGTAACAATACAGCATTTTTTTTGAACCTTCTCATGTCCCTTTAATATGTCTTTATGTTCTGACTACATGAACCACTTAACTATTAGCATTTTCTGCCTCTGCCTGTTTTATAAATTGGCAAGGCTAGCCATCCAGGAATGCAATCTTATTTTCCTTTATTAGCTAGGATTCTGTTGCTGTAACAAATCCTTGGAATTAACAGTCTATAAGGAGAAAAGGTTTATTTCAGTTCACAGTTTTTTAGGTTCTAGCCTGAAAGCAGTTGGCCCTGTTGCTTTGGGCCTGTGCTGAGATAGCACTTTATGGCAGGAGCATATGGCAGAGCCAAACTATTCATGTAGTTGCCAGGAAGTGAAAGAGAGTAAGGAAGTGGCCAGGGTCCCACGTTCCCCTTAAAGGACATGCCCTCTGTTGATGTAAATACCTCCTACCTCTTTTTTCTTCTTTTTGAGACAGGGCTTGCTGTGTTGCCCAGACTAGCTTTGAACTTGAGCTGAAGCACCCCGTCTCAGTTCCCCGAGTACTGGGACTGTGGGCTTGTGCCACCATCCCGGCAAGATCCTGTCTCTAAGGGCTACCACTCCCAGTAGCACCATGGTGGGACCGAGCCTTTAGCACCTGCTCCTCGGGTATCCTCGCCCAAACCCCAGCAAGGCTGACTGTTTCTTCCTTTTTCCCAGGGAGGATGGCCGGCCCATGGATCAGGGGAGCGACATGATTCTAGCGTCCACCTTCTCCACATCTGGCAGCTATTTTGCTTTAACTGATGACAGTAAGCGTCTGATTCTTTTCCGTACAAAACCATGGCAATGTCTGAGTGTCAGGTATGAAATGTTAACGTCGAATCATTAAGATGTCTTATTCACACCTTGTTCTTGCATGTCAGTAGCAATAGTGACAGTTACCATAGTAATAAGCACCAAGATGGCGTCCCAGCTGTGGGTTAGACACTGATCCAGGGATTTATGGTATTAACTGATAGGATCCTAGATTCCTGTGGGGTTGGCACGGTCTCGGTGGTGAGGAGTTGGCTGCTTTCAGGTCAGGAGGCTTGGCAGGGCTGTCTCTGCTGGGTCCTCCTGTGGCAGTGTTGCTGCCCCAGCTACTGTGCCATCCTACCTCCCACACAGTATTCCCCAGCCCTGTGTCTGCTAGAGGCAAAGGCTTTCAGCCGGGTCAGGGCTTCGAGTGAGTCCTGCTGGGCACTTGGGGCTGGGTGGGTCCAGAGCGGTCTTTCTGTTTGCTGGAAGAGCGAAGGGGCCAGTGCAGCCCGTGCCCCAGGCAGGAGTGCAGTGTGCTGCCGTGCGCTCTCGCCAAGCCACTCCGGGAGCACCCTGCCTAAGTGCAGCTGTGCCCCTTCTTCAAAGCATCTTTGCCACTTGTGAGGGGGTGACCCTGCAGTGCTGTGAATCTGCTTCCCAAGCCACCACCATTGTTTGCTGCCACTGTGTCCTTGTGAGAGGAGGTGGATGTCACTGGTGCATGGGCAGATCTCTGACTTCTCCTGGTGCCTGTTCTTGAGAGTGAGAGCTGTATCATTCTGCTTTTTCTGTGACTCACAAACACATGGACAGAGTCAGGCCTGGGCCCCTCCTTGTCCTCCCTGAGACTCCCTTGAGAATCAGAGGTAAACATGTAGGTTGCCATGCTTCAGCTACTAAGGTTCAGGGATTTCCCTTTGTAACTGGCTCATACCAAATTATTGGATTCAACGTTTTTAGATATTTATTTTATCTGATTTTCTAAGGTAAGAGTAAGAAGCCATATTCCAGGTGGCATCAAAAGCAAGAGTATTCACCCTGCCCTCTTTTCTTGTCAGATTAAAACTACAGGCCTGTTGAATATTGCTTCATTGTTAGTATTCATAGTGTGTGTTTTTGTGTGGCAGATGCACATTTTTGTGTGTAGGTGTACATAATTTGGAAATTTAACAACATATCAAAATTAAACAAAAGGATACCCAGATATCCAGTGATGTGCCAGGGTCCCTCATCTTCCTTCCCACAGAGTGGCAGAGTGAAGTGTCTCCAGGTGAACACTGCGAACTGGCCCCTCCCACGGGGCTCCTGCCGGCCTGGTGGGGCTTTGCAGCTGGCTGGTCTTGACTTTGGGTCTCTGACCACCTGTGGGGACCTGGGAGGCAAGGCAGAAGGTTGGTGTTCAGTCTGCTCGTGCTCCTTAGCAAGGTGACTCTCATCAGGCAGCTGAAACCATGGACGTTTGTTCTCCGTCCTGGAAGCTGGAGTTGGAGATCAAGGTGTCTCAGGGTTGGTCCTTCCTGGATCCCCTGTCCTGGTTTGCACATAGCTTCTTCCTGTGTCCTCACGCGGTCATCTGTCCTGTGTGTTTCTGTGTTTCRAGCTCCTATAAGGAGGCAGTCAGGTTGGAACAGGGCTCAGTTGAATCTGTATGGCTCTGTAAAGGCCCTGCTCAAATAGAGGCACATTCTGAGGTACTGGGTAGGTCAGGGCTTCAACACAGGGGTGTGGGGAAGGTTGAGCCCATAACAGTTGATCTTGTTTTCCTAATACTGATAAGTTTATTTGTGACCCCTACGGAGTCTCCAAGGGGCTTTGGTCTCAAAAAGATATTATAAATGAGATGATCTGAACAAGCCAAGGGCAGTTCTTTGGCTATGTAAGGGAGACGCTGCCACCTAGTCCTTGTGATCATGCAGGCTGGACGTGCACTGGTCTGGGCCGGACCAGCTGTGGTTTGCTTGTGTATGTATTTTGGCACTGGGGCTTTCATGAACRCAGGGCCTGGTGCATGCCAAGCCTGTCTCAGCCAGTCTCCAGCCCCCAGTTTGATTTCAGGTGCTCCTGGGTGATGGCAGCACTGCCAGGCCACACTTTGAGCAGCAGGATGTTGTAGAGCTCAGATTGCCCCAACCTGCTGTCTCATAGACCTGGTGAATGGGCGAGCTATACCCAGCTCCAGAGTCTAGAGTGCCGCTGGGGCCGGGGTGCAGGTTCAGGGCATTGCACTTGAGCATATTCAAGGCCCTGGGTTTGATTCCCAGCACCACACACAAGGAAGTGAGGAGCCCTGTTTGTGTTAGGAAACAGTTTTTTTCCTGGTGGTTTCAGTGCGTTTGCTGACAGAAGGTTTGTTGGGCCTTTCGGCATTGCTGGCGCGACACAGCTATGCTGATAGCTGTGGGGACTGGATGGTGTCTTCAGTACACTTGCTTTGCACTGTGTGGGACCCTAGCAACATGGTCTCCCGAGTCCTGAGCTGTGGTAAAGTTGTAGGCTTAATTGTGGAAATGCAGAGTGAGTTCTTGATTCTGCCTGGCTCCCCTGGACTATAGGCTACCACATAGCTTTTAYCATGTTTTCCCTTTGGTTTTGGTTCATTCAGACAATTGGAAACCACAGAGAAGTGCAGGATGGGAACAGAAAGCGGTCCCCTTGAGCTCAGCATTGGTGGCGTCCCTGTGCAGGAACACTGGTGTGCTCCTCCCGTTTCTCTCAAGWTCGAGGCCTGCACAGGGTGTGCTGCTGTGTTCAGCACGGGGGGGGGGGCCAGGGGCCCCTCTCCCCCACACAGCCATCTGGGATGTGTCTCCCCTGCTGTTGGACTATACTCTGTGATAAAAGAGCCAGCGCCTGGGCCTCGCAGGGATCGGGCCACTCTGGGAGTCTGGGTCCCTGCACCTGTGTTGGGACGAGGATTCTCGAGGGGGGTTCTGTGTGACTGTGGGGCTGATAAGATGGGATAACTCAGGGGCAGGACTCCTGCAGTGCCAGCCAGTCCCGCGGGCAGTGTGTGGATCTCATTAGTGACKGGAATGAGGCCAGTCGTTCTTCATGCTGCCTGCAGTTGTCTGTGGAGAGGTGCTCTGGGTCTGCTTTTTGAAGTTAGTATGTCGGTGATCCCTTGAAGACCTGATGAACTCGGAGGTGGGCAGTACTACCTTGGCAGAGCACACCAATTGGCACCTGATCGTTTCTCCCTTTAATTACAGGTGTGCTTCTGGTTTTGAACTGACACCAGTGGGTGACTTTGTGTATGTAGGCATGAGGTGGTGTGGAGGGCAGATGGTGTGATGGCTGCAGTGGGGACAGTGGGTGGCAAAGCCCAAGCTCTGCTGTGGACATGGGGCAGGTGCAAGCACCTGCCTGGGAGCTAGTGAGCCCTGGGTACCCTGTGCTGTGGCTTGGCGGCCTTGAGCCATTAAGGGCCTGGGGTTGCCCTCACATGGTCTCTTCTCTGGCATTCCCCTGAGCCCAGCAGGAGGCACTTTGTCACCGTCTCTGGATGGAACTGTAGGGTGAATGGCCCTTTGGGGTGTGTGTGGTAGTGGACAGATGTGTAGTCATTGCCACCTTCCTCCTAAGACCTACTGGCAAATTCTTCAGCTTTCTTCTTTTTAAATTCCTTAAAATTTGGTGTTTGTGAATTTCCAGTGCTGGGTCTTTACCCTCTCTTTGTGGGTCTAAGGAGAGATTTCTGGGGCAAGGATGAGGATGGGAAGGGAGAGCAAGATGAGGTGGTTTCATCAGACAGTGGGAGCTACCGTGCACTAAGACATGAGAGCGCAGAACCACATGCATGGAGTGAGCAGCTGACTGGTGTGTGGGGGCCAGTCCAGTCACACTGAGGGGGGTCTGCCTAGTGACATTTTATTGGGAGCACAGACCCTTCTGATGGATCCCCTCCTCAAAAARGAATGTCCATCTTTTTTTTTTTTTGGTGGTACTGAGTGCAAGTTGAATGTAACCTGTACATCCCTAACCCTTTCTATTTTATTTTGAGACAGCACCTAGCAAAGTCCCTCAGGTTGGCAGAGAACTTGCAATCCTCATGCTTCAGCTTCTTGAATAGCTGCTGCTGTGCCTGGTAAAAATGCCTATCTTTAATGTATTTGAAGTGCAGTTTAATTTTGGGGTTCCACACACCTGCAGTTTATGTGTAGTTGACTGGCTGAGGTCATATGCTGCTGGGGGCTCAATTGAGTTGGGACCAGACTGTCACTCCCATGTTGGCATGCTGCTGCTTTCAGACTTACATTGGGGGTGTTTGAAGCAAAGCCAAGGTGGAAATTGTGGGCAACAGTGGTTCTTCTTCAGGTGGCAATTTAGAGTGACAGGAGATCAGAGGACCTGGGACCTAGGCAGATCAGGAGACCCTCTCCTGCCCTGGAACTGAGGCCAAGGAATTGAAGATGAGGGCACCGGGTGACAGATGGTACCTTCAATTTTGACATGCACATTTGCTTTTTACTTTTTTTGTCTTTTGTGTTTTATTTTTTAGTTATAGATGGACATAACATCTTTATTTTTACGTGGTGCTGAGTATTGAACCCAGTGCTTCACGCATGCTAGGCAAGAGTGCTTTACCTCTGAGCCACAACCCGAGCCCTCTTTTGTATTCTTTGATGTGCATTTATGAACATGAAATCACCTCATTCCAGAGAGTACCCATTAGAGATTGGTACTGGCACCCAGAGGGCAGAGCCCCAGGAAGTCAGAACTGGGTTTGCTCTGCCTGCAGGTGTTGGGATGGCGGGGAGTCTGGTGGCTGGGAATGTGAGTTTGGGGAACTGGGGCCAGTGTGGGTATGGCATCTGAAGCCCTCGGAGCCCTGGCAGGGCCTGGGATGGCAGCTCTGGAGATAGGCTCGGGGCAGTGCCAGTTCAGGCTGAGCCAGGTTAGCTCTGAGGGACCCTGCAGAGCCAAGCATTTGCTCTGTTGTGTAGGGCTCTAATAAGAATCCAGTGACTCTGTGGATGGAAGGGGAAGTGCCCAGACCAGGCCCCGACAGGATGAGACGGTTATTGGGGCCGCTGCCTCAGTTCTCTGGGGTCCTGGGAACTGGGATATTTAACAATGGTGACATCTGTCCCATTGTGCCACCTAACTCCCTTGGAGTCTTAAGTCCACTCCCTGCAGCTGAGCTGCATCCTAGTCACTGTGGGGACAGACCTAACTGAGAGGCAGAGAGCTCCCAGCTGGCACAAGGCAAAGCATCCTGTGGAGCTGGGGGCTGCATCTGTGCCGCTGTCCTGGGGTGGAGACTCCTGGGAGGTGTGTCCTGGTGTCCAGGTAGGGCTTTGTTGGAGCTGCCTGCTTGGCTCCTTGTTGGCACAGTGCGGGCTGTTTGTTGACATTGTGGCGTGCTCTGAGAAAGAATTTTGATTAATCCTGCCCCAGAGCCTAATTATCTTTCTGTTGTTCTTTGTTTCCTCTGTGTTTACCCCGTCACACCCCCCCTTCTGGAGGCCCATCTGCAGGGAGCCTGTTTTGCTGGAGTTCGCCCTTCCGGGGCATGGGCTCAGCAGGGCGGGCTGTGATGAAGTGCAGGTGGAGCCTGCTGTGGAGAGCCCCCTGTGCTGTGGGGGGTGGAACCCCAGATGCCTTGCCTGGAGAGTGATGGGCATCTTGCTACTCAGAGTGCTGACCCTGGTTAAGCAGAGGCTTGAACGTAGCTGCGTCTCGTATAGAACCAGCTGGCAGATGTGGCAGGCCTTGGCAACCCAGATCAGAGGTTTTTATGAGTGTGCTGAATTCAGTGCCAACTGAGTGGTGCCCCACCCGCTCCCGAGCTCCCTGCTGAACTGTGGCCTTCCAGCCAGGGACTTGTGGGGACTCAGGGCCATTTTCGCTGCTGGCCTGTGTTGGGTGAGGGATGGTGCCCTGGCACCTGCAGGAGTGAGACACCCCTGCAATATGTGTGGGATGCAGCAGCACCAGCAGCTTTTCATGGAGGCTGTGGAGAACAGTGGGAGGTCAGGTGGGCCCGTGGGTGTGGAGAGTCAAGGACCATGGGCCCCAGATGGTGGCCTTTGCTTTTGTCCCTGGTAGTGGCCCTCTCATGTTGGTGAAGCCCACCCACATTTCCTGCACAGGCATGGCAAAGGTTCTGGGGCCACAGGCAGTTTCCTCAGCATTACGTCACGGCAGGTTTCAAACATACAGCTGAGCTGAGAGGACTTTACATCACATACTCCTGTATCTGCCACTCCGGTCTTATCACCAAGAATCATTTATTTTCTCCCTTCCTTCCTTCCTTGTTTTCTTTTTTTTTGATACCAGGGATGGAACCCAGGAATGCTTCATCAGTGAGCCACATCTCCAGTCCTTTTATATTTTACTTTGAGTCAGGGTCTCGCTAAGTTGTTGAGGCTGGCTTTGAACTTTGCAATCTTGATCTTCCTACCTCAGCCTCCCAAGCCACTGGGATTACAGGTGTACACTTCCACATCTGGCCAGGAGCAATTTTCTTGAGGAAAAATTATTGAAGTAAAATTAGTCCAAGGCATGGGCTTTGTGTGTGCGCGCTGGGGAGGAACCCAGGGCCTGGTGCGTGCCAGGCAAGTGCTCTGCCACTGAGCTGCACTCAGTCTAGGGCACTGGCTGTGATGTGGTTCTCAGCATTGCTTTGTTATTTTGGCATCATCTTCCCTGGCTGGATGGGCACATGTGTTGCCATAGGCAACAGGGCATAGAGGCCCCTGGACTTAGAATGGGATCACGTCCCAGTAAACTCCTTAGGCTGAAAATACATGTGTCACACCAAATCTATAGAGCATCCTCGTTAGCCTCACCTGCTTTAAATGCTAAGGACGCTTTCCTGAGCCTATAGCTGGTAAAATCGTGCACTGAAGCCTGGTTCTACTGCAGGGTGTTGAACATCCTGTGTAAGGCATTGAATATATTCTACAGAAGGAAACAAAGAGTGACTGTATGGGTATGCTTCCACACAGTTGTAAAGTGGACAGCTCCAAGCTGAACCAGGCTAGCTGGGCCGGGGGCCGGCAGCATAGGTGTGAAGGCCTGCAGCTGAGCTGACCTGTGGCTGCTAACCCGTGTGTCTCTGCTCTTCAGGGTAGTGGTGAGGAGGTGCACAGCTCTGACCTTCACAGCCTCTGAGGAGAGGGTCTTGGTGGCCGACAAGTCTGGAGACGTCTACTCCTTCTCGGTGCTGGAGCCCCATGGAGGTGGCAGGCTGGAGCTCGGGCACCTGTCCATGCTGCTGGACGTGGTATGTAGGGGCACGCTGACTTGTCCGCTCCAGCTGACGCCCTGGTAGGGCAGAGGCTGAAGGGTCTAAGGGGAGGAGCCGGGGCTCTCCCAGAGCAGGAGGAGCTTAGAATGGAATCGAGGCAGGTGGAGTGGTCAGCAGGATGGAAGGGGACCGGTGAGTTAGGAGGGGGTTGTGTGGTTCTAGACGTGAAGGACAGCTTCCTGGGGACTCCAGCTTGGGATGACAGAGGGGAGGGAGGTGGGAAGCAGAGCAGTGCCATGTGTCTGAGGCCTTCTCCCAGGACCCAGCCCCAACCTGGTGTTTCCCAGCCATCTGGAGAGTGGTGGAGCTGGGGTGGACCCAAGTGGGGACATTGTGGGAGGGTGTGAAGGGGCACTCACTGGGACTCGGTGACTACTAGATGTGGGGACAGGTGAGAGGAAGGTAGGTGGTCTGGAAGTGGGGGGTTGTAGAGGTTGGGGTGGGTGGAATAAGGGTTGGGTTTGGATGTTCCAGGATTAATTGCCCTTGTCTGGGCTGAAGAAGAAGGGCTGGGGACACTGGAGACCCATGGGGGGCAGGGGGAGCCCCAGTGATTTCACAGAGGTGAGAGGAGGGGCAGGACCCCCTGTCTAGCTCCAGGCCTGGTGTGGGGCACAGTTTTATGTAGGCCTCAGAGGTGGCCTTCCATAGGGGACTAATGGGAGAAGATGGGGGTCCTGTGGTACTGCGGAGTGGCCAGCGAGTGTCTCTTTGTTCTCTGACCCCTGGTGACACAAGGCTGTGAGTCCTGATGACCGCTTCGTGCTCACTGCTGACCGGGATGAGAAGATCCGCGTCAGCTGGGCCGCTGCACCACACAGCATTGAGGCCTTCTGCCTGGGGCACACAGAGTGAGTGCAGGGACTTCGGGCTTAAGGCAGATAAGTGGGGACCTGGTGGCAGAACAGCAGGGCCCCCCACCTGGAACCACCGAAACCCCTTTGCCAAAGGAACGAGTTCTTCCTCTGCTGGCCCTGCCCAGCTCGTGGCTGTCCTAGCACTCACCCAGTGAGGGGGCCCACGGATGCCCAGAGCGAAGGGACGTGTGAGAGGCATTGACTGCTGCCTTGTGTGCTGTCCCTCACCCAGTGTCCACGCTGCTGGTGAGGGGCCTTGTTTGGAGAACTCCTTCCTTGGTCAGTGCCCATGTTGGCCATTAAGAGCTGGGTGTGTTAGGGGCCGAGGACCAGCCTGTCTTGCCTTGGGTGGACCCAAGCAGGACATTGTGGGAGGGTGTGAAGGGGCACTCACTAGGACTTGGTACCATAGATGTGGGGACAGGTGAGAGGAAGGTAGGTGGTCTGGAAGTGGGGGGTTGTGGAGGTTGGGGTGGGTGGAATAGGGTTGGATTTGGAAATTCCAGGATTCATTGGGGCACACAGAGTGAGTGCAGGCCAGAGGCTGGGTACAGTTTCATGAGAGGAAAGCATTCAGCTGACTGCCTGGATGGCTTGCGTTCTTTCTGTTGGACGGAGCCCTCCCGAGCTCTGTGGCCGTGGGTAATTGTCACCCCATATTCCAGCATCCTCTTGGTGCCAGCCTGCAGTGCAGTGTGTGGTGTGCAGGAGCTGCTTGATGGATCTCGGTGCGTTTTCAGTGCCTTAATAAGTGAACAGCAGTTGGCCTTGAGCTTGATTTCCAGCCCGTGGAAGCCAGTCCTGCTCTTTGCTGCTGAGTGCCTGTCGGATGCGTGTTGGTGGGACAGGTGTGCCTGTGGGACGCGAGGGCCTGGGGGATGCCTGTTGGTGGGACGTGTGCGTTGGGACATGCTCTTTGCTGCTGAGTGCCTGTTGGATGCGTGTTGGTGGGACAAGTGTGCCTGTGGGACGCGAGGGCCTGGGGGATGCCTGTTGGTGGGACGTGAGTGCTTATGGGATGCTTGCCAGTGGGCTTTTTCTTCTTGGAGGACCTGAGTCTAGGAACGAAGTTCCCTGGCAGACGGCGCCCCTGGGCCCAGGCCAGGGTGACACTTGGAGAGGCTTTGTCTGATGGGAACAAGGAAGCGCCTGGGAGCCCTTGCCCCAGCGATCACTGGAGGGCACCCCATTAGAGGTGGGGAAGGGCAGGGAGCTGTCGGCCTGTGTTTGCCAGCAGAGGGGCTTCCTGGCCAGCCAGGTCGCTCAGGGCCCCCTGTGGCTCTTTGGATGGGAGAGTGGCTGCCGCCGTGAGTCGTCTGCTGGTGCAGGGTGAGCATGGTGACTGGCCGGGCCGCCCAGGGTTCTGATCCCTGGCTGCTTATGTCGAGGACCCTCAGGGTCTGATCTGTGGTGTGGTTCTGCTGTCTGGCCCCCCAAGGGTGCAGGCATTTTGGGTAGAGGCAGGTGCTCAGGGAGCTGGTTGGGGTGCTGCCAGTCAGAGCCGCTGCAGAGGGACACGAGGTGGAGGTCGTTGCATTGTGGGACCCCGAAGGACATGGTGTCATGTCCTGATGCCAGGGGCCATCACCTGGCTCTCCACAGCACTAGCCGTCCTGTGGGGGCTGAGGGAGGGTTCCCTTCCTGAGGTGAAAGGTGGCCTCTTGTCCCACTGTAGGTTTGTGAGCCGGATCCTCGTGGTGCCCAGCCATCCTGAGCTGCTGCTGTCCTCCTCAGGGGTGAGTGCCAGTGCTCAGCAGGTGCCCACCACTGGCTGCTGCTTGGGGAAGGTGGAGAGCCTTGGGAGCAGAGGAATTTGTCTCTGTCTGTGGTCCATGCATCCCTGCTCCCCCATGGTGTCCACTAGATGGCACTTGCTTTCTGCATCTTAAACTGCCCAGGGTTGCTCCTTGCCCACAGTCACTCATTTGGGGCTGGGTGCAGTCTGTGGCATGTGTGGTGTGTGTGCTGTCTGTGCATGTGTGTGTGTAGTCTGGTTGGTGTAGTGTGGGAGGTGTGTGTGGATGTGGCTGTGGTGTGTGAGCGTCTGCATGTGTGCACACCTGGCCCCAGCACAGCAGGTCTGGGTTAGGACCTCCTGGCACATGGCGTCTGGCTGCCTTGGATTCCTATCCCATCGTGCTGTGACTTGTGGACATTCACCTCTTTTTCTTTTTTGGTACTAAGGATTGAACCCAGGGGCACTTCAACACTGAGCCACATCCCCAGCCCTTTTTATTTTTGTCTCGAGGTAGGGCCTTGATAAGTTGCTGAGGTTGGCTTTGAACTTGCAGTCTTCCTGCTTCAGCTTCCCAAGTGGTAGGAGGCAACATACCCAGGACGGGTGGGCAGTGCTGCTGGGACATTTGCATCTTTACAGAGAACCTTTAGCTCACAAGGGCAGCCCTGACCCCTGACCACACCCAGCTGTCTTCAGGGTCATGTAACCCCCCATCCCCATCTCCCTCCCCACCCAACACATGACTGGCTCTTGTGGAGCTGGAGGCCTGCTGCGACCCTGTGTGCTAAACTGTCTTTTTTTGCAGGATTGCACCCTGCGGCTCTGGGAGTACAGAAGTGGCCGCCAGCTGCAGTGCTGTGACCTGGCCAGCCTGCAGGAGCCGGTGGAGCCTCAGGGCCCCAAGGTAGCTGCAGCACTTGTCTGGGTGATTGGGTGTGTGCAGGGCGACTCTCCAGGTGCCTGCATTGTGTGCAGAGAGTTATCTGTCAGACACATCTTTGCTGTCCGTGCCAGCGTTCTTCCAGTTTGGGAGAAATCATGTACAGCATTTCTAATTCTGAACACATGCAGTCACATAGGTGGAAAACAAATTGTCTTACTTTGTGCATTCAGACAGCAAATGAGAGAAAAGCCTCTAGTCCCACTTGGAAGTGGAGAAGACTGTGGTGCTTAGTAAGGGGCCTCACCTTGGCTTCGTCTGTGGCAGGACAGGCAGCCCACCACAGTGCTCTGTCCTTTATGGAGTGTCTTGGCACCGGGGCTGCACCCAGGCGCTCCCTGAGAAATAGATCACGTTCCCCACTAGGCCAGTTGCTCTGCGTGAGAACAGGGTGGCGTGGCCTCTGCCCTCTGCTCTGCTGGCCAGGAGAGTAGTAAGCCTTGTCCCCTGCTTTGCGAACCTCAGGGTTCTGTCTTTGTTTCTGTCGTCTCCCATGCTGGGAGAGTAGAGCCTGTGTGGAGTCGGGTCCCCTGCTCCTCCTCCCCTAGCTTTTGCAGCAGTTCTTGGGCTTTGAAGGCATTGCACAGGCCTGCAGGGTCTGCTGAGGCCAAGGAGAAGCTCCTGCTGTCCCCTTGTTTGGAGTTGAGAGGAAGGGGGAGCCAGCTGCTCCCTTCTTTCCCACTGATTTCCACAGTGTTCTGGGTGCCCACCCTGCCTCGCCTGCTGAGGCTGGGGAGTGTGGCGCTAGGGGCTCTGCCTTCCTGTGAGGGAGTGTGCAGCCTGCGGGGCGGCACTGACTCAGAGCCGCTTTTCTCTGCAGAGGTTTGCCGCATCCAGGATTGCATTCTGGGCCCAGGAGAGCTGTGTGGCACTTCTGTGTGACAGGTAAGCCACAGTGGCTTCTCCGTCCCACAAGCCCATCAGGAGGGGAGGCAGATGGATTGCTCAGTGGTCCTGCCTGTGTCCTTGTGGAGGGGTGGGCAGTGCTGCTGGTGCAGCCCCGCCCCTTGTGCTCCCTGTGGCACATGAGTCCTGGCGCTCTTGGTGGGCTTTCCACCTTGGAGCTTACAGGTCACCATGGCCTCTGTGGTCTCCAGTCCCCGCCACTCAGAGCTGGTCCCAGTGGAGCCTGCCATGCTAGGGTGGAGACATCACAGACACTTTTGGAGCTAGGACAGGTCTTCTGGTGCTTTCTACGTTTGCCCTGTGACAAGTCTGGGGAGGCAGTCCTGGCTCATCTTGGGAATGAGGGTGTAGGTTTGGAGAGGGGGGAGGTACTGCCCAGAGCCCAGGCTTCTGTGCACGGCTCTGTGGGTGGGGTGGCCATCCTCATTCTTTGTTCTTTGTCCTGTGTGGATTAGTGCTTGCTGTGTAAGAAGTTGCCCCAGAACTCTGGGGCATGGACAGCAAAAGCCTGTCACCTCACAGGTGCTCGGGTACCTCAGTTGGGGCTCTTGGTTGGGGCATCTCCCAGTGTTGGTCTTGAGGGTGGTGCTGTCGGGTGAGGGCTGAGCTGCAGCCGTGTCAGGCCCCACAGGCCTGCGGTGCGGTCATAACCATCCTCTCTCTCCTGGAAAGCCTCCCTGTGGTCCTCATCTTCCATTTTGAGGCCAGTGGACAGCAGCTGGCGTTCAGACAGCAGTTGACTTTTCCACACCGGGTGTGGGATGTGGCGTTTGAGGAGACCCAGGGCCTGTGGGTTCTGCAGGACTGCCATGAAAGCCCCCTGGTGCTCTGGAGGCCTGTGCGTGGCCAGTGGCAGGTGAGACTGAGCAGCCTGTGTCCAGGGCCCTCTGTCCTGTAAGACTGGGGCTGTGGGGCAGCCATGGTTTTCTCATTGCCCTGAGCCCTTTGAGCCTGATCATGTCTGAGTCCCAGGCTGTGTCCCAGGGTGAAGGGAGCAGAGGGCCAGCCCTGCTGTCCCCGCTGTGGTGTGGGCATGTTCTTGGGGCAGGGGTTGCCATCAGGGGTTTTCCCTGGGACTTCACGTCCTGGCCCACACGTACTTCAGTCAAGAAGCTGGGATAGTGTTGTCTGTGCCTTGTGTGTGCAGGCTCAGTTATTGCTATTGGTGGGCACTTGGAACACGTGGAGCCCCTGGGGCAGAGGACGGGGCTTGGGCAGTAGGCCTAGCCGCCTCCTTGCCCCGTCATGCCAGGGACCGGGAGGAGGGGGATCATGTCCTTGGCAAACTCCACGCTTTGCCCAAGCCCCTGGCCTGTGCTGGCAGCACGAGCCCGCAGAAGCTGACTGGGAGGCCCAGTGCTGCCGGGGTGGCCCGTCCGCACCCCAGCCCCAGGTCCTGCCCCACTGGCTTCACAGGGAGCTTCCTGGCACCTGCTTCCTGGCCTCCTCCTTGCTGTCGCCGGTGTCTCCCACCTTCTTATTGGGGCCTTTGTCACCTCTAGTCTGTTCCTGAAAGTGCTGTGTTACAGAGGCTGGCCAGTCATCTCCGTGGACACTGGGCCATATTGGAAGGTAAGAACCTGCAGGGGGCTGCTCATCAGGCCCTAGACCAGAGTTCAGGAYAGGCTCACTGCAGTGGACGCCACACGCAGGCCAGCTTCCACACACCAGGCAGGCGTGGGGCAGCCCTGTGCTGACAGCAGGAGGCCCTGTGCTGGTGAAGAGGCTGTAGGCCACTGGCCCATGCCTCTGCAGATGCAGCAGGGCGGTCAAGGCTGTGGGCCACATTTGCTGGTTGGCCTGGGGCCCAGGTGTAGAGGACACTGCCACAGTGTTGGCCACCTCTGTCTGCCCCCTGAGGCGCAGAACCTGCTGCCTCACCTGCCGGTGTTCCCTCATGCTTTTGTGGACCAGAGACTGAAGGTGGCCGTGTCTGCAGGACTGTTCAGACCCAGCCTATATTGCTCAGAAGAAATCCTCCAAAATCAGTCTTTTCCAGTTGGAGTTGGGGTTCCTTAGAGTTTAAAGGGTTTGGACTTAAACATGGCTTTGGAGGTATTTGTGTGGCAGTGCCCTGAAGTGTCCTCTGTGAAGCTTTGTGGGTTTGTGGGTGGCTTGTGCGCTGCCTCCCCACCTTTCCTTTGCTCTTTCCCATCCTGGCTGGAAGTTGAGGTGTGGACCCTGGCGTGGTCTGGATCTACTTTAGCAGCATCTTCAATGGGCCCTATGGCTAACTGTGTGGGGACCCCCAGGCGCAGCTCAACGCCCAGCACCTACTGCCCCCTTACCCTCTTGTTATTCAGGGGCCTTAGCTGGCTCAGACCTGTCCTGCTGAGGATCACCTCACATGGACTCAGGCCAAAGCCTGCCATCACTTTCTAAGGTGTTCTGTAGACAAAAATGGCCTGTTTGCCGGATAGGGGTGGGAATGGTGTTGGGGAGGCCCACCTCGGCCTGAGCATCCCCAGAGCAGCRGCGTTGCCACAGGATGCTAGCAGCCGTGCCTAGGTGCAGGGTGATGCAGGACAGCCGCTGGTTACAGTCATTGAGTGCCCTGGGTGTCTCCTGGCCAGGAGAGACCATGCCTGCCAGGCTACACCTATGGCTGCCCTCAGGCCTCTGGACCACGGCAGGCCTTGGACATCTGTGGCTGCATAGCAGATCATTCCACACTTGCCTTCCTAACACCATGTGTCCCAGTTGTCTTTCTGTGGGTCAGGGGTCTGGGCACAACTCAAGAGAGGCCTTGTAGGCTACAGTCAAGGAGCCGCTGTCTTGAGTCTACCCCAACAGGTCCACCCTGCTCGCTTCCTTGCTGTGAGTGGAGTTGRGTTCTCACAGCTGGTGGCCCACTGTTCCCTGCCCTTTGGCCTTTGCCAGACAGCACACAGCCTTCAGGAAAGTGCCTTTGTGCCCTGGTTTTCCACGTCCATCCCTTTCCTTTTTGCCTCATTCTGTTAGAAGCAAGTCCCCAGGGTACAGACACCAGGAGGCAGGCATCATGGTGGCCCTCTCAGAATTCTGAGTTCTGACTCTTTGCATTCAACTGCTGAGTCCTGACGGGCGTCTGTTTTTGTCCCCATGACAGGCTCTGTTGGTGCTGCAGATGGCTTCCGCAGCCTGTACAAGGCCACCTTTGACAACATGACCTCCTACCTGAAGAAGAAGGAGGAGAGACTGCTGCAGCAGCTGGAGAAGCAGCAGCGCCGGAAGAGCCCTCCTCCAGGGCCCCCTGGAGGGACCAAAAAGGCCCGCTCAGGGCCGGCAGCCTTGGGCTGCTGACCTCTGTCTTGGCGGGGCTCCCCACTGACAGTACAAGCAGCTCTTGGCCCAGCACCTCCCTTTAGAGGGAAGAGGTGGCAGCCAGGTCCCACTGGCTCAGTGGACAGTCTGTGGTCGCCAGGCTCTAGAGTGTCCTCATTGCTGGGTGCAGGCTCTTGCCTGGAGTCCGTTCCTCCCCACCGGGAAGCCATGCAGTGACAGCTGAGCTGGAGAGTCTGCACAGGGTGGTGGGAGTGCCTTGGGCACTGTGTCTTCCTTTTGGAGGAAATATACTACCCGTGGCGCTGGCGGCTACTTTGTTGCTGTGTCCTCAGTGCTGTCTGCCAGGTGCGTCTTCCTCCTGGGAAATCAGGCACAGCCTGGCTTTCTGCCCTCACAGTGCCTCCTCGTGGGTGCTGCCGTGCAGCTCCTCTGGGGTGCTGTCCCTGATTCATGTGTGCAGTAGCTGGGTGGTGAGTGGCTATGTGCAGCGCAGCAGTGATGTGTCCCTGGGGGAGCTGGATGGCGCTGGCACAGGAGGGGACTTTGTTGAAGGCGTCTGTGGATGTGGCCCTGGCGAGGACCTCATTTCACAGGGAAGTGATTGGTGACGTGTGTTTTTGTGCCTTTGACTTGGACTCTGCTCACTCTGCAGAGTGGCAGGGGGTTCTAACGAAGGGGAGCTTTTGTGGCTTCCTGCAAGTGTGTGGGGCAGTGTGTGGAGCTGGCCCAGGTGTGAGGTGGGTGCTGTGTGGAAGTCGTGTTTCTCAGTGCAGGTCGTGGCTGTGCCAGCCTGGCCACTGAACCCAGCTTCTGCCCACTTTCCGTGATTCTGTCTCAGACCCAGGCCCAGCGTGGGTGGGTGAGGACGTGGCCATTTAAGCAGATTTCTGCTGTGCACCAGCAGTTACGGAGCTTTGGCTTCTCCCCCAGTGCCCTGGTCTCCTTGGACCCCAGCCTGGAAGCAGCAGTGTTGTGGARTGGCTGGGCCCACTCGCCTTCACGGGCAGGAGGGGCTGCTGTGTGGAGGGGCCGTGTCCTGTGTGCTGCAGGCCCTCTGAACAGGCCTGTCCTCAGTGGTGGTGTGCAGTTCTTGGTGTAGGAGAAACTCAGGTGTGGTCTCCTCCATGCCGGTGTTTTGGGAACCCTCTGAGCTTGCAGCCTCCCTTCTCCCTGGCCCCCCACCTTTTACGTTTTATTTTGATTCAGTGTCTTGCCAGGTTTCTGAGGCTGGCCTCAGACTACGATCCTCCTGTCTCGGCTGTTAATACCTGGGCTCTGCTTGGTGCTGTGGCAGCAGGTGTGGCAGGACCAGGAGCGCTAGCGGACGATTCTCGTCCCCCTTGAGATCCTGTTTAAGTTGTGTGTTTAAAAAAATGAACTGGTTTGCTTCTTGGGAAACACCTTTCCTGTTCACCTGGCTCCTCCTCCCAGCCAGAGTAGACACGGTCCTCCGTCCACGTTGTTCCAGCCAGCGCTCGGGTTGGTGGCCAGGCCCCTTCGGTGTCTGGTGAGGAGACTCACAGACACAGCTTCAGGGCAGTACTGCAGAGCCACGGGCATGATGTGAGGAGAGGCTGCAGTCGGGCGGGACCACCCGTCTTCCCAGTGGTTGCTCTAAATCACTCTGATCCTTACCAAAGTCATGCCCGTAGGTGATAGGCCAACGGGCATCTGTGGCCTGCTGTCTCCCCTCCCGTGGTTCCTGACCTTGTTTCTTTCTCCAGAGGCCATGGTGTTTGGTGGTATTCCCGGCCCGACACCCAAGTGACCCCCAGGGTCCACTCACTGGGTCACTCTCACAGAAGTTGCTGTACACACACTTGAGTGGTGCTGTCCACGTGCTCACGTGGATCCGAGTGCGCCTTTGCCCAGCGCTCGCTGCCTGGTTTCCAGGTGGATTGGCCACGTGCCCTCTTGGCACTGCCTTTCCCTCTCACAGGGCTGTCCTCTTGTCTGCTCAGTGGCTCTGGCTCACCTGGCCCCATGGCCAGGAGTGGCTTCCAGCTGGACCTCATATCCTGTGGGGTCCTGGGCTTGCTCCCTGCCTTTAGGGCCCCTAATTCCTAGCAGAATGGGGGGCTTTATTCCAGCTGGCTCTGAGAGCCTGCGCTCAGGTGCTCCCAGATGTCCCAGGAGTTTCTCCTGTGGTAGGTTGGCATCACCCCAGTGCACATGCTCTCTGTAACCCCTCACCTCGCAGCAGCACCCCCCTACTGTTCCCTCCCCCATGCCTGCTTGCTGGGCAGCTCGCTCAGATCCTGCCCTGCCACCCGACCGCTTCTGCATCAGTTTCACTACTTGTGTAAAGATTTGCCCTTACGCTCCCTTAGAATTTTATCCTTGTTTCATCGTTCCTATTTTTTTAAAAATTGTTCTTATTGTCAGTGGATCTTTATTTTATTTATTTTTTTGTGTTGCTGAGGATCAAACCCAGTGCCTCACACATGTGAGACAAGTGCTCTGCCACTGAGCCCCAGCCCCAGCCCATTTCTGTTTTTTAGTTGGTATGTGTTTACTTTTGGGGACAACCCCTTTCATGGATTAAAAAACATGTGGTTATCATATTGAGCCCTGCACGCTTGGCTTGTGTTTTCATTTTGACTGTGGAGTGTGTGGGGTGTACAACTGAAAAGTGTACAGGAAACACAAATGCTGAGACCCCCGTGTCCCCTCTGGTCACTGCCCTGACACGTGCCAGGCCTGTGGCCGGTGGGTCATCCCCTGCTGCCGCTCTGATTTCTCTGCTGGCCCTCTCTGGGAGTCATCCACATGCCACAGTGGTCATGGGTCGTTCCTCCTGCTAGTTAAGTGTCGTGCTTTGTGCAGATGCTATTCTGTTGAGGGACGTTAGGACGGTTTCCAGTTTAGTCTGGTGAAGTGCTGTGGTGCACGCTCTAGTACCTGTCATTTGGCACACATAAGCGTTTCCATTGGTATCTGTGGGAGATTGGTTCTAGGACCCCGTCCCCCGCCCACCAAAACCCCACGGTCTGTAGATGCACGAATCCTGTGTGTACGGTGGTATTTGCACACAGCCCTGCACGTCCTCCTGTGCTCAAGGCGCCTTTCCCTTACTCACAGTGCCCGTGCAGTGCCCGTGCAGTGCCCGTGCAGGTATGCAGTTGCTCTACCATGTGGGTTGGGGAGCGACGATAGGCAGGACCCTGTGCAGGGTTGCTGGCAGTCACTCCCCCCACGTAGTTTTGAGTGCACACTGGCTGACCCTGTCTGCAGAGCCTGTGGGTGTGGAGGACGACTGCACCTAGGAGTGGACTCACTGGCTGTGGTCATTCACGTGTGTGCTTTAGAAGACAATCCACCTGTGCTAGTTCACATCCTGACCACAGAACGTAGAGTCAGGTATGCTCACACTCAGCTTTTGAGGTTGATGATGCGAGATGGGCCTTGAAGTTCCGTGTGCTGAAGTGTTCTTTTACCAAAGCACAGATGTGGATTTATTGACTGGTGGGCGGGGCCCCGCGGAGTCCAGACCTGAGCTGGGTTCTCTGCTGTGTCACTCAGTTGGGTTACTCACCTGAGGGAAGTCAGCCTCGAGGTCACAAGGACACTCCAGTGGTCTACAAAGAGGCCGCTGTGTGAGGATTTGAGGCCCCTGCTGGCACCCATCTGGGAGGCCACCGTTGGCAGGGGCTCCTGCGGTTGGTCTCCCACAGCCTCTCTGCCGTCCCCTGTGCACAGGCACGTGCTGTCCTGATTCCCTATGGCTTCTTTGGTGTGTGGCGTGTGGGTCTTTGGAGGTGTGGCTCACCAGCCAGTCGTTTGGTTTCCCACTTCTCTCTGTTCTGTCTGCGTTATGAGCTCAGAGTGGGCCTCACCCCGTGCTCCGTTCAGACTTGGCAGCCTCGGAGGCTGGCCACGCTGGTCACTGCACGAGTGTGTGAGAGGAGGGTTCCCCTGTCTCGTCGCGGCTGGAGGCTTCTAGCAGCGGGAAGGTAGGATTGGCCACATCTGCCTGAAGAACATGGTTGGCGCTTGGTGTGTTCACAGCTGTCAGTTACAGAACCCTTGCTTACTGTCCTGGTCTGGGTTTGGATTTGGGTGCTGTTCCACCGTGTGAGCAGTTCCCCTGACATTGGGTGCACACAAACCTTGTGTGTCTGCTCACCCATCATGAAGCAGCCTGTGACTCGGCTCAGATGTCCTTCTGGAGTGCGTCCCCGCTGCAGCTCGCCTGTGCTTGCTCAGCGGGGGTTTCCCTCTTTATCCCTTTGCTTTCATGTCTGTGTATTTAATGTGGTTTTTCCTGGTTTGGGTAAGTGCATTTTTTTTGTCCCCAGTATTGGATTTCAGTGGAATGGCAATCTGAGCCACATATGAAATCTGCAGCACTCCAGGACTCCCTGTGACAGCCTGACCACTCCCTGGCAGACCGTGTCCCACCTGTGTGGTCACTCCTCGCTGGGGGACCTGGCACTTCCTTTGACTTCGTCAGGAGGGGACACTGGGGGCCGTCTGGTTTCCCCAGGCTCTCCTTGTGTGCCCTTCCCGCTGGCTGTTCCGCCTCCTTTCCCTGAAAGGCGCGGTGTGTGACTGAGGACCCTGTGAGTCCCAGCACCTCCCGGAGCCAGGTGGTTTAGGACTCAGGACTCGTTATGTTTCTTGTTTCCAGTGCCATCCCAGACCACAGGCATTGCCACACCTGGCGTTTAAGTTAGAATCACTTTTTTTTAGTGATTACATTTAAAAATTTATTTTTTTAAAATTTTAGTTGTAGATGGACACAGCATCTTTATTTTTTTTATTTTTATTTTTTTTAAAGAGAGAGAGAGAGAGAGAGAGAGAATTTTAATATTTATTTTTTAGTTCTCGGCGGACACAACATCTTTGTTTGTATGTGGTGCTGAGGATCGAACCCAGGCCGCACGCATGCCAAGCGAGCGCGCTACCGCTTGAGCCACATCCCCAGCCCAGTATCTTTATTTTTATTTATTCATCTTTATGTGGTGCTGAGGATGGAACCCTGCGCCCCATGTGTGCAAGGCAGGCGCTCTACCACTGAGCTACAGCCCCAGCCCAAGTTAGAACCCTTAAATGGAGTTTGACATTCAGCTTCTRTGTCACACTGGTGACTGCTGCCAAGTCGGAGCGAGAACGTTTTGATCATCACGGAAGGTTCTCCTAGACAGCCACGTCTTAGTCTTTGACCTTTAAAAAGGGGAAAGTGGGGAGAATTCACACCTCCTCACATTGCCGTTCCCAGCGCCTGCCTTCCCCTTGGTGGACCCGGGCCTCCCTGTCGGGTGGCTCTCCTGTCTGGGAGCGTGTTGTGTCTGCTGTGGTGCAGGTCAGCTGTTAGAAGTCTTCTTGACTTTTTTTTTCTTTCTAAAAATACTTTGTCTAGGATGGTAAAGCCRTTGAGGTGCTGGTGCTTCTACGTGCTATAGGAAACGGCACGGAAGGCCGTGTCTCTGAGCCCGTGTCCTTGGGAGTGATTGTGGCTGTGCCATCTTGCTTCTCGGGGTTGCACCTGTGTGTGATTCTGGTCCCATGTGCTGTTTTCACGGTGTAGAGTGGTGAGGTGTTGCCGCCGTCAAGATGCACAGCGGCTCGTCACAGGTCCCTGGCTCTGCCACAGGGCTGCGGACGCTTCCCTCCCTCTGCCCTGCCCCCACAGCCAGTGTCTTTCTCCTTCTCTGTGATCCGACCGTAGGGATGCTGTCTGAGTGGGGCCTTGCAGGGTGGCCTTGTGAGTGGCCCTGTGCGGCATGCAGGGGTCTGTGAGGATGTGCTGTGTCGTTGGTCAGCCTCAGCACTTGGTTCCATTGGTTCCAGTGCAGCTGTGGCGCCCAGCTGCGTCGGGGTTTGGCTGCTGCTCGTGGAGCAGTTGAGGACGTTCCTGTGCCCATTGGTTGGGTGTGAGGGAGCAGGTCCTCGTCTCAGGTGGTGGGTGCTGAGCGCGCACTCTGTGCCCTGAGCAGCTGCACCCTTTTCCCCCACCCCATGGCCTGCCCTCGTCGCAGCTTCTCTGTGTCCTGGCCAGGGTCCGAGGTCATCACCTTTTATTTGGCCCTTCTGATGCGCGAGTCCTGTGGCTGTGGTGACTCTCGTTTCCATGGTGGCACGACGGGGACCGTGTTCTCAGGAGCTTACTTGCTGTGTCTGTTCTCCTCGTGTCTCCTCGTGTCTGGCAGTGTTCTGTCTGGAGTGGACCTTGCTCTTGGGTTTTGAGGGTCATCTTCAGGCCCTTTGTCAGGCCTCTGGTGTGCACATGTTTTCTGGCAGTAAACAGTTTGCTCCGTAACCCTTCTAACCCAGGGTCTTTGCCAAGCATGCATTGTGAATTTTGATTCAGTAGTTCATTAATTTTTCTTTTAATGAGTTGTGCTTTTGATGTCAAGGGTAAGGACTCTTCCTAGCCCTATGTGGCACAGAAGTTCTGTTACAGAAGTTCTATTATAGTTTTTCTTAAAGTTTCACGTTTTGTATTTCTTACGTAAGCCCCCATCCGTCCTGAGTTGATTTATGTAAGTGCTGAGGCTCTGTCTGTCCTCTGACAGACAGGACCAGCAAGACATTTCATTGCTCCCCTGCCTCTGCCCTGCTCAGTGTCTGCAGCAGCCTCTGCTCTGCCAGCGCCTTGCTCTCAGCTCCTGTGCGTCCTTTTTGCCCTGCTCTGGTATCCTGGAGCCAGCCCTGGTGCACTTTGCCTGTGGGTGCACTGCCAAGTCTGTCACCAGAGTGAGCTGGAGGAGCTGCAGGAGGGCCTGGTTCTAGGGAGCACAGCTGCACAGCGAGGTGAGCACACCACACACCCTGACGGAGAGGTGCAGCACAGAGTCCTCCCTCCAGACTCGTCCCTTCTGATGCCCACACCTTCTTTGTTCTGTCATCGTGTCCTTGATCCTGGCCACTTTTAAGATTTTTTCTCTTCATCCCTGCCTAACTGTGATTTGATCTATAAGCCTTGAGTGTGTGTGTATCTGACTTGGGGGTTGGTGAAAATTGTTAAGTTTATTATTTTTATGAAACTTAGAAAACTTCCAGTGATTCGGCTGCCAGTGCCCCCCCACCCCCTACTCCCACAGTTCCAGCCCCTGTGTAGACGGCTTGATCTGACSTACTTCCTCGTTAATGGATCTCTCAGGTTCCTCAGGCTTTTTTCTGCAAGTGTTCATTTTGGTGGATTCCGCTTCTGCATCTTCAGCCTGAGGGTTTCCCTGGGAGGTTGGTTTGTGTCCCTTTCTCTTCCTGTCGTGGCCATGCCTCCACGTATTGAGCACGTGGAGCATGTATAAGGTAATTGTCTCCTTTTCTGCTCACTCGTAGTCGGTGTCGTATCTAGGTCAGTTTCTGCTAGTCTGTTGCGTTTCCAGGATGCACTTTCCCACTGCTGAGAGTGAGTGGGGTCTGACGATGGCTTCTCGCAGGACATGGAGTTTCCTGTGGTTCCCCCCTCCCCCCCGGCA